CGGGCCGTGCCACGACCCGCCGTCCAGCGAGGGTGGCTGAAGCGTCTCTGACGGCGTGACTCCGCTGCCCTCGCGCCCCACGAAGCGTTTAACGCCGCAGTGAGGCCTGAGAGCGGCCGGGCTCGCCGGCACAGCCTGAGCACCCGAGGACGTTGCGTAAACCGTTCAGAAAAATGTTTGTGACGCTCCGTTTTTAACAAAAAAAAAAAAACCCAGTGTCTGCATAGACCGTGCACGTAATGCTCTCCCAGTTAAAGAGGAGAATGATTTGTTGCCCAGAAGGAAGACATCAGAAATAAATGTTTTAACATTACTGAGGGGATTATACGCAAGAAGAAAAGAATTCAATTTGAGGTTTTACTTAAGAGGCAAAAACACATCAAGGCCTGATCTCGTTCCCACTGATATCTGCAGGCCTTCGCCAGCGCTCTCAGTGACAGCGATTTTTGTGTCTGAAATTTTACTCCTCCCCTCACACTCACTTTCCCCCATTCACACTCCTATACTCGGCAGCTCGGCCACTCTTCAACCACAAAATTTTCCACCAAGACATTTGTAAAGGTTGGGTATAGGGAGCTAGAGGAGAGGCGAGGGGCATAAAGAGGTCCATCCTGTGCTACAGCGAGCCCGTGTGAGTGCTTCCTACCAAGAGCCACTTCCAGACTCACCAAACTGGGATGAAGCAGCCTGACAGCACCCGGCTGATCCTCCAATGCTCGTCAGCCTCCCACCACTCCCCTCGAGACAGCCTGACCTTGGGCAAGTAATTTATCCAGGCTGTGCATCAGTTGTCCCTTCTGTAGAAAGGGAAATTGGCTTTTACCTTATAGGGGCATGTGGTGAAGCTGCAGAGTTTGAAGGCTGCCAGGAGCAGACCCGGTACCAGCACGGCCCGGGGTCTGGTGGCGCTCCGCGGTGCGCTCCCCAGGACCTCACCGCTACAGCATGTTTCGTAAAGACGATCAGAAGGTCTTCAGACAACAAGGACAAAAATGTCCCAGTGAAAAATAGACATGAGATTTGCTAGCATTCAAATTTTAAAACGTAATTTAAAAATTCAAAATGATGTCGCCTTTGAAACAGCAACTCTAGGCAATTAGCTCAAACGAAACAGAGCTGAAATAAAAAGTTAGTTCTTATCAACTCTTCTCCTGCCCACCAGACCTTTGCAGGCCAGGCTTGGCTTCTGGTTGCCGGTTGCGGTTCACTCAGTGGCTTTCTAAGGTGCCGCAAGCTCTGCTCTGCAACCACTGCTTGCTCCAGGAGCAACCTCTGCAACACCCGCAGGCCCCTCTCAGACATGTCCACCCGGGACCACCATGAGCCCTGTCCCACACCAGGGCTCTCGCCTGGCCCAGACACATCCCCTGGGAACAATAATCCGGAAACGCCAGCATGTAAATAAAACCACTGCCATCCACTGCGCTGAGCGAGGCTTCTCGTTACTGGGCAAGAGCAAATCTATTCATGGCCAGCAGGGATGGAAAAGGGTAAGAAATGTGACCCGAGGTGAGATCCAGAGAGGCTTTCCTCACCTGGGAGTGCTGGTTTGTGCTCGTATCTCCGTCGCGAGCATGAGCGCACGTCTACAGCTCCGTTCCACAGCTAAGGTAACAAAAGCAGTCTCTAGGATGGCTATCAAAACTCTACCCTCCTATTCGGTTTTCTGGATTTTTTTTTTTTTTTAACAATAAAAGGCTAAAAAGGCTAATATTACAGTCCTTTTCTCCCCCCGCCCCTTTTTTTAAACACTGAGACTAATTCTCAAAAACAGCAATTTAAAAGGGGTGGGAACCCCTAGGTTTGTGCTATGGGAGCACAACATACTGCCTTGCCGGGGAGGAAGGGCCGTACGCTGGGGAGCAGCACAGGGACAGAGCTAGTGGGACCGCACCGTTTCCCTGCTGTCATGAAGGCAGCGAAGGAGCCCGCACGGGCCTGCCGATAACGGCTGTTCCGCCTGTGCAGACTCATCAGTCCCTGCTGTTTTCTGTTCTTCCGGTGGTCTAACTCATTCCGGCTCTCTGGGCGACCAAGTGGTAGCTCTAAAAAGTCTCGTCTCAAAATATTCATTTGTGGACGTTCCTTAAGCAGCCTTCCTTGCCAGATATTATTTCTGTTAATTGGGCCTTTGGGCTGCCTGATATGCTGGAAAATTCACATTTTTCTACTCTTTTTCT